TTAACTTAGTTGGTTTTATATGTTTTATTGTGTCAGTATTTTAAACTAAGACTGATTTAATGTCATATTTGAAAAAAAAATCAGATTAAATTTAACATGTTTAACATGTTAACATTCAGATTCAGACATTCAGTGACACAGTTCACGGCTGGAGAACTACTTTCACCTCTTCAAGGACCATTCAGACCTTCTCAAAGTCCCTCATCAAGGGCTGTTTCAACCTCCTCAAGGACCAGCGAAACAAACCTTTCAGCGGGTTTTGGAATCTCCTCATGGACCTGCAGGACCTTTTGAAGGACTGTTTGTACCTCCTCAAGCACCCCTGGAACCATTTCAAGGACTTCTGGAATCTCCTTGGGTTCCATTTAAACTTTATGAAGACCATCTGGTTCCTTCACAAGGACCCTGGAATCTATCATGATCAGGAAATCCAGGAAAAGGACCATTCAAACCAAGACCCTCTGGTAGGAGCTGTCATGATACCAGAAAGTTAAGAAGATACTCAGTACTCATATACTTCAACATACACTGCGGCGGTTTGAGCCCATTTCATGTCAATAAATGGATCAAATATATATATATATATTATATATATTAAATAACAACATCATGATGGCGAAAAGTCTGAATTCAGACTCTGTCGGTCTGTCTGCAAGAGGACAAGCTCTCAGCAGACAGAAGAGTGAAGATGAATCCACTTTTTAATCCCAACAGTTTCAGATCAGATCAGGATCCAGTGGGACTCTGGAATCCTGCTCTCTGATTGGCTGTCAGGTGTCAACACAGGTCAACTTCTGTTGTGCCTGTTGGTTACCATAGTGACAGCACTGATGCTTCTGGTCAGTAGAGACAGAGAGAGAGAGAGAGAGAGAGAGAGAGAGAGAGAGAGCGCAGAGAGAGAGGAGACCAGAGAGAGGAGAACGAGAGAGAGACAGAGAGAGAGAGAGAGAGAGCAGAGAGAGAGAGACGAGAGAGAGAGAGCAAGACAAGAGAGAGAGCACTAACCTGTTTTATTGCTGAGCTCTTGTCTGTCTGTCTGTCTGTCTTAACGAGCTCTCATTATTAGCTCGTTAGCTCGTTAAGGTGGGAGGGGTCATTAACGAGACAAACTGACCAGCCTCCAGACACACCCCGCGCACACACACACACAACAACAACAGCACACACCACCAGCAGCGTGTGATGACCACGTCACATTAAAAGCTTTAATTTTTCCTTTTATGGATCTCGTTAAATGTCTGTCAGGGCACACCACACACACACACTGTAAACACACAAACACATTCACACACTCACCACACACTCACACAGGTATAATGTGTTTTATCTTCTGTCATTAGGTTTTACTCACCTCCTCTGGCTGCTGTCGACCTTAGGACAGAACTGACAATTTAAAGAGACACGACACTCTGACAGGAAGTCAAACTACCACACCACAGATCATCAGTGTGATTCACTGAAGTGAGACGAAACCAATGATGGCTGGCAGGAAGGAACGTTCTGGCACAACAGCTCTTATACTAGTCCGTGCTGTAAGTCTTGACCTAATAGTTTGTTGCAAATCCCCAGCTTCAACCTCCTTTCTTGCTGTACAGACGTAAAATCTTATGACTCTCAGGACAGTACAGGATCGGTACTGTGTATGGCAGTGCTGTACCATAACACCCACACAGTAACACACACACGCCAGTACAACACAACACACACACAACAGTACACACACCACCACACACACACACACACACACAGTAACACACACACACGGTGGACAGAGTCAACTAGAGGAATATGGATATTCCCAGAAATGCTCCGGGTGCTCTCCGTCCTCTAAACTCCTGAAGCTCTCTGATAGATCGGAACGGCTTTCAATTCATCCATCACACACACAACACATACACGATGACGCAGTGTGTGTGTTGTGGTGTGTGTGTTGGTGTGATTGAAGGCCCTTTCTGCCAAAGGGAAAACTCTTAAAGGGGGAAATCCACTTTTTCATCATAAAAAGAAAATTGAAAAGTGAAAAGAAAAACTGAGACCAGGAAAAGTCTGATCTGAGGTCTGATTCTGTCTTCATCCAGACTCATGCAGCCCTTTTTGGTCCTTAATGACTGCAGAACATCCAGAATCCTGATCCACATCAGAACCTCGCTTCCATGTTTCATTCAGATCATCTGT